CAGTCTTTGGCCATCTAAACTATATTGTGTCTGCGGTCTTCTTTGCCTTTCCCCAATCTTCATGACTTTGCATTTGGCAGGGTTAAATTCAAGGAGCCTGATGCTGGACCAGGCTTGTAGCCTGTCCAGGTCTCTTTGTAGTCCTGCCTGATCCTCATCCGATTTGATTCTTCTCATTAACTTCGCATCATCTGCAAACAAGGACACTTCTGAGTCTATCCCTTCCGTTATGTCGTTCACATATACCAAGAACAGCACAGGTCCTAGGACTGACCCCTGTGGAACATCGCTTGTCACAGGCGCCCACTCTGCCACCTCGTCGCGTACCATGACTCGTTGTTGCCTCCCTGTCAGGTATTCTCTGATCCATTGCAGTGCCTTTCCTGTTATGTGTGCCTGATCCTCTAGCTTTTGCAGTAACCTCTTGTGAGGAACTGTGTCGAAGGCCTTCTTGCAGTCCAAAAATATGCAGTCGATCCACCCCTCTCTCTCTTGTCTTACTTCTGTCACCTTGTCATAAAACTCTAGTAGGTTTGTGACACAGGATTTTCCTTCCCTGAAACCGTGCTGGTTGTCAATTATACACTTGTTTCTTTCCAGGTGCTCCACCACTCTCCTCCTGATGATCTTCTCCATGACCTTGCATACTATACACGTTAGTGATACAGGTCTGTTGTTTAGTGCCTCATGTCTGTCTCCCTTTTTAAAAATTGGGACTACATTTGCCATTTTCCATACCTCAGGGAGTTGCCCAGTTTCAAATGATGTGTTGAAGATCTTTGTGAATGGCTCACACAATATCTCTGCTCCCTCTTTAAGAACCCATGGAGAGATGTCTGGTCCCACCGCCTTTGAGGTGTCAAGTTCGCATAGCAGCTTCTTCACCTCCTCCTTGGTTATATGTACCTCATCCAGCACTTGCTGGTGTGCCCCCCTGTTCTGATTTCCTGGAGTCCTACTGGTTTCCACTGTAAATACCTCTTTAAATCTTGTGTTGAGCTCCTGACATACCTCTTGGTCGTTTCTTGTGAATTCCCCATCACCCTTCCTCAGTCTGATTACCTGGTCCTTGACTGTTGTCTTCCTCCTGATGTGGCTATACAACAGCTTCGGGTCAGTCTTTACTTTTGATGCTATGCCATTTTCATATTGTCTCTGAGCCTCCCTTCTTATCTGTGCATATTCGTTTCTGGCTCTTCAGCTAATTTCTTTATTTTCCTGAGTTCTCTGTCTTCTGTACCTTTTCCATTCTCTAGTACACCTAGTTTTTGCCTCCTTACACCTTTGGGTGAACCAAGGACTCGTTCTGTTCTTCCCATTATTTCTGTTTCCCTTGGGAGCAAACCTCTCCTCTGCCTCCTTGCATTTTGTTGCCACATAGTCCATCATTTCTTGTACTAGTTTTCCTGTCAGTTCCCTCTCCCACTGAATGTCTTGAAGGAAGTTCCTCATGCCTGAGTAGCCCCCCCTTTTTGTAGTTTGGTTTTTCCCAGCCTTTTCCCTGCTACCTCTCCACTTGGAGCTCAACTATGTAGTCGAAGCACAGAACTACATGATCACTACTCCCAGGGGCCTTTTCATCATGAATATCCTCGATTCCGAACTACTCAAGGTGAATACAAGGTCCAGTCTTGCTGGTTCATCCTCTCCTCTCTCTCTGGTAGTGTCTCTAACATAATGAGCATGAGGGTTTCCAGAACCCCATCCATCATCTTGGCTCTCCATGTTTCGGGACCCCCATGGGGCTCCAGGTTTTCCCAGTCAATCTCCTTGTGATGAAATCACCCATAACTAGTAACTTTTCTCCCCCCTGTGTGCTCTCCTGGCCACCTCGGCTAGTGTGTCGATCATTGGTCTGTTTTCTCTCAAACGTATCGGTTGTGGTTTTGTGGTGTGTGTGTGTGTGTGTTGTGTGTGTGTGTGTGTGTGTGGTGTGTGTGTGTGTGTGTGTGTGTGTGTGGTGTAGTGTGTGTGTGTGTGTGTGTGTGTGTGTTTGTGTGTGTGGTGTGGTGTGTGTGTGTGTGTGTGTGTGTGTGTGTGTGTGTGTGTGTGTGTATGTGTAGTGGTTGTGTGGTTTGTGTGTGTGTGTATGTTGTATGTGTGGTTTTGTGCGTGTGTGTGTGTGTGTGTGTGTATGGTGTGTATGTGTGGTGTGTGCGTGTGGGAGTGTGTGTGTGTGTGTGTGTGTGTGTGTGTGTGATGTGTGTGTGTGTGTGGTGTTGTGTGTGTGTGTGTATGTACATATTTTCTATCTCTGTATACACTGTGCATCACGAGCGAGCGATAAAAGATGGAAAAAAACCAAAGAATGAGTTGAATGATAGCTCTAGGTCTTTCGTGATGCAATTATACTCTTCAGGGGCTTGCAATGTAGTGAATTTCCAAGCCCTTCCGTGATTTCCCTGTGAGAAATCACAATAGCGCTTGGAAATTCACTATTTTTTGCTGTATATATATTATATATATATATATATTATATATATATACTATATATTATATAATATATATATATATTAAAATATATATATATATATAAATATATATATATATATATATAAACACTGATCTCTGGCCGAAGGAGACTGGAACCTACGAGCCTTGGAACAAGGTGGTGTTGAACCCAGGAGTAAACATATCACCAGTGGTGTTGAACCCAGGGGTAAACATATCACCAGTGGTGTTGAACCCAGGGGTAAACATATCACCAGTGGTGTTGAACCCAGGGGTAAACATATCACCAGCGGTGCTGAACCCAGGGGTAAGCATATCGCCGGTGGTCATATTCTCCTGACGCTTCTTATCTCTTTTCTAATTTTATTCTTTTATCTCTTTGAGTGCCATTGTTTTTATGTTCTAAGTGACTTTATCTCTCTATGTTTTGTCTCTCAGGTTATTTCCACTAGACCTGTTACTGAGAGTCGGAGATCACGACCTGACCAGAAGAGACGTCTCCCGCGAGTACTCCATTCCCGTCTACCAGATTTATCAGCATCCAAGGTGAGAGAGAGAGAGAGAGAGAGAGAGGAGAGAAGGAGAGAGGAGAGAGAGAGAGAGAGAGAGAGAGAGAGAGAGAGAGAGAGAGAGAGAGAGAGAGAGAGAGAGAGAGAGAGAGAGAGAGAGAGAGAGAGAGAGAGAGAGAGAGAGAGAGAGAGAGATAGAGATTAACATTTTCATAGTCTCTTTCTTAATTAGCAGGCGAGGGATCGAGCCTCAACTACCATTACTTTCGCTTGAAAAGTTAAATAAAATGTCAGACGGTAGGTAAGACTGGAGGTGCTCTTACACAGTCTCCATGGCAACCATCTCCACTTAGACCAAGATGCTGACATATTTTCTCGTTATCAGATTATCAATATATATATATATATTATATATATATAATATATATATTATATATATTTTATATATATATATATATATATATTTTATATATATTTATATATATTTTATATATATATATATAATATATATATATATATATATAAGCAATAAGATCACAGTAAACAGGTGATTTCAGAATATGCAAAACAACCACTCTGAAAGAATAGAGAAATTCCAAGGGCTTTCGTGACTACTCGCATTATCAAGGAACTATGAAAGTAAAGCATCCAAGGAAGCTATATAAGGGGTCTGGCCAGCAAACCCCACTATCAGATCCCACAACGGTTAAACACCTGACGCGCGCCGACCCAACTTGGATAGGTCCTTTGCACAACTCACCCACAAACTATTCTACCCAAGAAAATTTAAAATTATTATTTGTCCAGTGTATTATTAAATTCTTCCCAAATTCTATTAATTATAAATGGATCTAATTTATATAAACCAAAGGAAATATTCATATTATTTTCAAAACTGCTTTTTATGAAACAAGATTCAATTATATTCTTGTCGACCATGGACTTGCTTGATACTACTTTCTCAACTTTTTGAAAATCAATTGGATGGTTAAAATCTTTACATGAATAAATAGAGCATTGGAATCTTGTCCAGTTCTAATGCTATATTTATGTTGTTTTAATCTTAGTTCGAGATTTTTACCAGTTTGACCGTAATAAACTTTATCGCAAATTTTACAAGGAATCTTATAGACACATCCATCAGCATTTTGGGGGGAATTCTTTATCAAAAGTTTTTTTTACTGTATCAAGATTTTGAATACAACTTTAATATTAAAAGTCTTAAGAAGAGAAGGCATATCAACCAAGTTTTCATGGTAAGGGAGAACCAACATATTTTTAGTTGAATAAGGCTGGTTGTCCCTTTTTGGATTGTAAAAGTATTTCTAGCAACTTTAAAAGATTTATTAATTACATTTCTTGGGTATTTTAAATCATTACCTATTTCATAAATTTTGGATATTTCCTCATCTATGAACTCAGGACTACAAATTCGTAAAGCTCTCAAAAACATTGATGAGAAAACAGACAGTTTGACTCTATCTTGATGCGAGGAATAATAGTGGACATAGGAACAGTTATTTGTAGGTTTTCTGTAAATTTTAAATTTGAATTCATTATTACCCTTAATAATTAAAACATCTAGAAAAGGCAATGAGTTATTTTCTTCAGACTCAACAGTAAAGTTTATAGAATGGGCTAAGCTATTTAATTTGCCAAGGAAATTGTGTATATCTACATTTTTGGGCATAAGACACAAAATATCATCAACATATCTGAACCATTTAGCTCTATTAGGGAGGATTGTGTTAATAGAGCTAAATGGTTCAGATATGTTGATGATATTTTGTGTCTTATGCCCAAAAATGTAGATATACACCATTTCCTTGGAAAATTAAATAGCTTAGCCCATTCTATAAACTTTACTGTTGAGTTTGAAGAAAATAACTCATTGCCTTTTCTAGATGTTTTAAGATTAAAACAACATAAATATAGCATTAGAACTGGACAAGATTCCAATGCTCTATTTATTCATGTAAGAGATTTTAACCATCCAATTGATTTTCAAAAAGTTGAGAAAGTAGTATCAAGCAAGTCCATGGTCGACAGGAATGTAATTGAATCTTGTTTCATAAAATGCAGTTTTGACAATAATATGAATATTTCCTTTGGTTTATATAAATTAGATTCATTTATAATTAATAGAATTTGGGAAGAATTTAATAATACACTGGACAAATAATAATTTTAAAATTTTCTTGGGTAGAATAGTTTGTGGGTGAGTTGTGCAAAGGACCTATCCAAGTTGGGTCGGCGCGCGTCAGGTGTTTAACCGTTGTGGGATCTGATAGTGAGGTGCTGGCCAGACCCCTTATATAGCTTCCTTGGATGCTTTACTTTCATAGTTCCTTGATAATGTGAGTAGTCACGAAAGCGCTTGGAATTTCTCTATTCTTTCAGAGTGGTTGTTTTGCATATATATATATAATTATATATATATATATATATATATATATAATATATATATATATATATATATATATATATATATATATATATATATATATATATATATATGCGAAACATCCACAGTGGAGTTGAATAATAGCTTTAGGCCTTTCGTGTTGCAACCAATATTTCATCAGGAGCTTGCAATGTTGCAGAAAAGAGGAGGAGGTCCAAGCAAGTGCAGCAGAGGTAAGGGAGGCAGTAGGCAGGCAGGCAGGAGGCGCCCTCAGGCATTCCAGTACCCTTAGTCAGAAAGGTTGAATATTATAGCATTAGAAAGACAGCCAGCCCTCTAACATAGATATTGTAATAGTAGCCTGACGCACATGACATGGCAGTTATCAAAAATTCGGTCAGACTGACTGTTTGTAGTTGTTGGGAGGATCAAGTCTGGTTTCAGAGACCGTTATATATCCCACAGTGTGGCTTCGTCATTGAACTTTTGGTCATGAACTCCAAAATTATCCCTCAAGTGCTCAGGGAGAATCGCTGCTTCAAGTCTACTGGATGCAACACATGAGGACAGAAAAGCAGGTAGTGCAATCTGTGATGACTCGCGGACACCAATGCCTCCTATTCTGACTGGAAGTTTAGCTTGTTTCTACTGTACGTCCTACAGAGTAAGGTTGAGTATTTTCATAAAAGTATGTCTGAGGATACTGCTGCATTCCTGCAGTGTAGGGTTATCATATGAAGGAAATATGTTAACCTGGTAGATTCAAGCACTTTGTGAATATGTGCAAGGCATCGTGGATATCTAGATGTGTATTCGTTGTTCCATCTTCTTCAACTAGTCCAGTTTCTTCCCGAGAACTGTGTCAATGGCATCACTTCCCAGAGATGTTCCAAGCAAGAGGCTATTTGTGGAGGCAATGACTGATGTTCCTGGTAGTCTTGATCACACTGCGTCGATCACTTGTTGATTGACTGATATGATTTCATATTTGGATGGATTCAGGATGAGTTCCATTTCCTGTCCCCGTGTCATCACCTGGGTAAGATAATCTAGAAGGGACTCCTTTGTACCTGCTAGTGTGCCATCATCCAGGAACCAGATGGTTAGATCACTGGTCAGCCTGACATTGATGTCCCTAACCGCTATACGGAAGAGAAATGGTGCAAGAGGATCTCCTTACTGGACACCCTCTGATGACGTGGTTTCATGCTCTCCAAACAGAGGCATTGATTCCTTGCTATATCCAGCTGAAGCAAGAGGGAAGAGACCAGGGAAATGTTCTTGTACAGCTGTTAATACCACATCTCGTCTCAGGAGATTAAATGCATTCCTGAAATCTAATTTTACCACTGCATTGTCCTAAGGCAGTTAATTAATATACTACCTTGTTACATGAACCGCTGCCTCGCTTCCCTGAGGGATCCCAAAGCCAAGCTGGTTTGGTTGAAGCATCATGGCTGCCTCTGTGCGAGTACTTCGCACAGCAGCTCTGGAAGCGAGGCGGCCAAGAGTGTTCCCACTGCAATTGGCCTAATTCTTCCTTCTTTCTTTTTAAGGGCACAAAGTAATGTACCAAAAATGAAAGGTTTAATTTTGTCAGGAATTAAGTAAATTTATATGTACATATATATTATATATATATATATATATATATATATATATATATATATATATATATATATATATATATATATATATATATATATATATATATATATATATATATATATATAATATATATATATATATATATATATATATATATATATATATATATATTCAACAAACCGGCCGTATCCCACCAAGGCAGGGTGGCCCCCCAAAAAAAACGAAAGTTTCTCTTTTTAAATTTAGTAATTTATACAAGAAAAGTGGTTACTATCCCCTTGCCCCAGGCATTTTAGTCGCCTCTTACGACACGCATGCCCTACGGAGGAAGAATTCTGTTCCACTTCCCAATATATATATATATATATATATTATATATATATATATATATATATATATATATATATATATATATATATATATATATATATATATATATATATATATATATATATATATATATATATATATATAATATCAATGCACCACGCAGAAACAAGCGGGTATGTACAGAGAAAGATCACAGTCAGCAGGACTCGATACTGCTACTGGGGACGGTCAAGATGCCCAGGCAGCGCTCTTATCCATTCATCCACAAATGCCACATAAGCTGAGCAGCCTGGTTCACAAGCCATGTTTCTTTCCCAACCCAGGCACGTCATTGAGCCTCTCTCCTGCATAAGCAGATGGTAAGGTCAGAATTTAAAGTGATTTCTAATGTAAGGGAAAGGGAGATTCTCAGGATTAATGTGCAGCCAACAAATCTGCAGCTGTGTGATGCTATTATGTCAACATGAATGACGATCGCTATGGAATGTTTCCATAGCCTTACTGAATCCATTTTTGGTGGCTCTTGGCCTGGTGGCAAAAGCTCTCGCTTCACACGGTGAGGGTCCGGGTTCGATTCCCGGCAAAGGGGTGGAAACATTGTGCGTGTTTCCATACATCAGATGTCCGTGTTCACCCATCAGTGATAATGGGTATCTGGGTACTCACCTATCTGTGGTTGCCCCGCCTCTTCACTGGTCGCTACTAGGCCACTCTTCCTGCTCCACGAGCTTTATCATACCTCTTCTTAAGGCTATGTATGGATCCTGCCTCCACTGCATCATTTCCCAGACTATTCCACGTCCTGACAACTCTGTGACTGAAGAAATACTTCCTAACATTGCTGTGATTCATCTGAGTCATCAGTTTCCAATTGTGACCTCTTGTTGTTGTGTCCCATTTCTGGAACATCCTGTCTTTGTCCACCTTGTGGAGTCCTCTTAGCATTTTATATGTCATTATCATATCCCCCCTATCTTCTCCTGTCCTCCAGTGTCGTCAGATCGATCTCCCTTAACCTCTCCTCGTAGGACATACCCCTTAGCTCCGGGTGTTAGTTGACTGGTGTGGGTCGCATCCTGGAACAAAAAGTGACCTAATTTTTCCCCGAAATGCTCAGCATAACAAGCGGCTTTCTGTATAGTAGTATGTCACTGATGTCAGCTAGGACTGTATACCTTGTACATGTACTTGTAGAAATAAAGATAAGAATAATAATAATAATAATAATAATAATAATAATAATAATAATAATAATAATTAATTATTATTATTATTATTATTATTATTATTATTATTATTATTATTATTATTATTATTATTATTATGCCACCAAGAATTCAAGCTGTTCTGTGGGTAAAGGGTAATTCTACCTAGGACTAGTAAGGTGTACCTAATAAAGTGACAACTGAGTGTGTATTGTGAATTGTTTCAACCACAGAACTTCGATGTCCGTCTATAAAATTATAGACTACCACATCTTTGGAAAAAAATACAAATACTAGTGGATATACTGAGTTTTTGACTTTGAAAAAATTATATTTAGAAATAATGCTTCTAATTTTCTTTAAACTTGTTCAGGTACAACAGAATAACGACGGACAATGACATCTCTCTAATGCGAGTCAAAGAGCCACTGGTGCTGACCTGGAGGGTCAGTCCTATATGCCTGACACCGCCTGACCTGACCTTCTACAAGGAGTCAGTGGTGGTGATGGGCTGGGGTAAGGAGTCAGAGAAAGCTGACTTGGGATCACCACGTCTCAGACATGTCAGTCTACAAAGTAAGCTCTTTTAGCGCTGTCTTGTAAACTGTAGTACACGGTTGTCACACAGTGTCTTCATCAGTCCCTCAGTCTGGAGTCTATGTAATTAGTCCATCAAGTGATGGACTAATTACATAGGCTGAGGGACTGATTACCTCAATCTTTTTCCTATCTTCACTATTCTTCTTTGTATTGGACTGACGAAGCCACTTTGTGGCGAAACGTTTCCACAATAAAGATTCCCTAGTTTACGTGTGTCTGATTTGTCAACTTGTCTGTTCTATGAACCATTTATCTAGACGACTGTTAGAGTATCTGAGAACCAGAGCGGGAAATGACAGAACTAGAGAAAATAGAAAGGTAATGAGGGAGAGGTTAATGATAAGTAAAAAACTGCAGGGAGTCGAAAAAAAGAGGCGAGAAATGTTCATAAAGATCATCTGTCCCTACTGTATCTCTCACTTCTATATTCATCCCACTGTATCTTTCCCATTATACATAACAATTTAATTTTTTTAAAAGTCATACAGTTTAATCAGTAAATATTTTATCACCTTTTATTGAAGTAACTTTTCCGCTTAGTTTCTGTGATCTCAATAACAACTGATGGTCTTCCACTGCTCTTTCTTTAACTCCTCCATACTTAATCTGAAACACTGTATCCACGAACCTACACTTCATTCAACGCAACATACACTCCCATACACTTTTCTAGTTGCAATTAACTTACCTAATAACGTCTCTACCCAGAGAGGTGTTTACAAACTGCATTTACAATTTAGATTGTAAATGATGTTTTTATTTACAGTTCTGCCGATGGGCAAGTGCCGCCACAACTTCAAGTTCCTTTCTGAAGAAATTTCCTCGAATATGTTGTGTGCGTTGTTGGGAACCAAGGACACCTGTCAGGTGAGTTACTGATGTTTATAAGCAAAGAAAACACCTGTCAGGTGAGTAACTCGTGTTGATAAGCAACAAACACCCGTCTGATGAGTATGACCTATCTTATGTACCTATCTCCCTCCAGGGAGGCTATGTCACTTGACGTACGTATCTATCTCCTTCCAGGGAGGCTATGGATTTAGGAATTCTGGTTAGTAGTAATCTAAAACCAAGACAACAGTGCATTAGTGTTCGCAATAAAGCTAACAGAATCCTTGGCTTCATAGCAAGAAGTATAAATAATAGAAGTCCTCAGGTTGTTCTTCAACTCTATATATCCTTGGTTAGGCCTCATTTAGATTATGCTGCACAGTTCTAGTCACCGTATAACATAATGGATATAAATGCACTGGAAAACGTACAAAGGAGGATGACAAAGATGATCCCATGTATCAGAAACCTTCCCTATGAGGATAGACTGAGGGCCCTGAATCTGCACTCTCTAGAAAGGCGTAGAATTAGAGGGGATATGATTGAGGTGTATAAATGGAAAATAGGAATTAATAAAGGGGATGTAAATAGCGTGCTAAAAAATATTTAACATAGACAGGACTCGCAGCAATGGCTTTAAATAAGAAAAATTCAGATTCAGAAAGGATATAGGAAAGCACTGGTTTGGTAATAGAGTTGTGATAATTAGACACATGTGCAACTCTTGGGTATCTTTATTGAGGAAACGTTTCGCCACACAGTGGCTTCATCAGTCCATACGTAGGAGAAACTTGAAGAACAGGAGGAGAATGAGGTAATCAATCCCTCAACCTTGAGTCGATGTGTTCAGTCCATCAATCTTGAATAGAATACGGCATATGAGCGGAGAAGGAGCTTATAAACCGTATGGCAGGAGAGGTGCAGCAGTCGTAGGTGGTGTCACATTTGTTCAATGTGGAAGTAGGTCGTGCCCAAGAATTAGGCAAGCGAAGAATTCCTAAGTATTAAGATCAACTCAGTGGTGACCTGTATCAACTCAGTGGTGACCTGTATCAACTCAGTGGTGACCTGTACTTAACTCAGTGGTGACCTGTACTTAACTCTGTGAAGAAGTGTCTTGTGTGCTCCCCGTGGACTGAACCAAGATGCCCTCCATCGAGCAACTTTACCAGCAGCGTAAGGAAGAATTGAGGGTAGCGAAGATGGAGATACGGCGATTGACCGAGGAGAACAAGAGGATTCGTAGTAGTCCTCCTGTTTCGAGTCCTCAGGTCAAGAAGGGATCGTGGTCAGTGGCTGGGCAGCAGGGGACGACGAAGTTGACGATCAAGAAGACGAATGGAAAGCCAGAAACGATGAAGAAGAGACTGCTGTGGAAACTCTTGTGGAAACCTCCAACGCATTCTCGGTGCTACCCGACGAATGTGAGTCGACTACTGGGACCGTCACGACGAAAGACAACAAGGAAGGTAAGAATATTGTTGTTGTTGGGGATAGCCAGGTTAGATACATGGATAGGGCATTCTGCTTGAAGGACAGGAGTAGGAGACAGAGGGTTTGCTTTCCTGGGGCTGGGATGGAGGACATTGTTAGCCGGCTTGACAACATCATGAACGGTAATGGGATCAATCCTATTATTTGCCTCAGTGCTGGAGGCAATGATGTAGGCAAGCGTAGAAGTGAGGATTTAGTTAGAAAGTTCAGGACAGCTATAGACATCATTAGGAAGAAGGGGGGACGCCCTGTTATATGTGGCATTTTGCCAAGAAGAGGTGTTGGTAATGAATGGTTGTCCAGAGCAATTGGTATTAATTGTTGGCTGGATAAACACTGTAAGGATAATGCAGTACCATTCATTGACAACTGGGACAACTTCTATGGCCGAAATGACATGTATGCTAGGGATGGGGTTCACTTATCCAGGGAAGGTGTGGGTTTTCTTGCTAACTCAGTTGAGGGGGTTGTTAGGACTTTAAACTAGGATTAGTTAGAGGTATGGGTTTAGAAATGATAAATAATGAATATGGATACATTGACTTACGCTCTGATATTAAGAATCTTAATAGTAACTGTCATGGAGTAACTTTGGGTAATGATAATTTCAGAAATTGTGTAAAAACAAAGATCAATAGGAAAAATGTGCAGGAGAAAAAACATATGATGGTATTTTATGCTAACAGTCGAAGTGCAAGAAATAAAATTAATGAACTACGTTTGGTAGCATGTGCTGGGAACTTTGATATTATTGCATTAACTGAAACGTGGTATGATTTAAAGAGTCGGGATATGACTGCTGAGTGTAATATTCAAGGGTTTAAGTTGTTCAATGTGGATAGATGTAATGGGAAGGGGGGAGGAGTTGCATTATATGTTCGATAAAATATTAATTGTTGCATAAAAACAGGTATAAAAATAGATGGAGCAGTAACAAAAAATCTGTTTGGGTAGAGTTTGTAGAGGGTCCAAGAAAAACTAATTCTAGGTGTAATATACCGACCTCCAGGCTTGGATCACGATAGAGGGAGACTTCTTTGGGACGAAACTGTTAGGGCTTCTAGACAACAAAACATAGTCATAGTAGGGGATTTTAAAACTTTAGTCAAATTGACTGGAATTGTTTTGACAGGTAATCTAGAGTCCAGTGACTTTATGGAAACAGTTCAGGACTGTTTTCTGAAGCAGAGCGTGACAGAGCCTCCCCAGAGGTGATAATTTGCTAGACCTAGTCTTGTCAAATAAGGAAACACTCGGGGAATAATCGGGAGATCACTGAAGAGCTTGGCGCAAGTGATCACAAGTCCATCACTTTTAGCTTTAAAACGGGGAATGCAAGAATAATGATAATATAGTAAAAATCCCTAAATTTCCGTTTGCCGATTATAATGGACTTAGGGAACATCTGTATAATCTTGATTGGGGTTATCTAGCAATGATTTTATTGGCGAGGGATCATACTTATGATTATGAAGGGATCTGCTTTTACGATTTTTTTCTTAATAATTACATCATGCCCAGAGTATATACATTCCCCAGAAAGATATTAGGTCTAATAATAACGATCCCAAATGGGTTAACAGTAGGTTAAAGCATCTATTAGGGGAGAAAAGGGGAATTTAAAGGCGCATCAGAAGAGGAGAGGTTGACCTTACTGACCAGTATGTTCAACTTAAAAGAGAAGTAAGAAAGGGGATTAGAAAGGCTAAACGTGACTATGAAATTAGAGTTGCTAGTGAATCAAAGACTAATCCAAAGGGGTTCTTTCAAGTGTATAGGACGAAGGTGAAGGAAAAAGTGGGACCTCTGAAAATTGGGAATGGACAACATTTTGATTCGACTTTGACCATTTACAAAGTCACACTAACACAAGAGAGTGAGGGTGCTAGTATATATAGGTGAGGGGGATAAGGACAGGACCAAGAGAGGTGGAAAAAGAAGTAGTGGTAGAGGTAATGCTGGTAGTGGAAGCAGTAGCAGAGAATAGTTTAGTGACACAAGAGAGAAAGTGAAGTGAAGGGTGAAGAGCGGCAAGAGAAATGAAAGTAGCAAAAGCAGTACAATAAATATTTATAATAGTACATAGTGTTCCTTATTTAATGACTATTTTTTGTCAGTTTTTACACAGGAAGATGTAAATGAGATTCCAGTAATTAACAATTATTTAGTTAATGATGAATTTAAATTAACTAATATTACTGTCACGAGGGACATGGTTAGTAAACAGATAGACAAACTGAAGCAAAATAAGTCCCCGGGACCCGATGAGTTGTTTTCCAGGGTACTTAAGTTTAATGCGTTCATCCTTACCAGTGTTGTGCCAGAGTTGTGGAAGATGGCTAATGTGGTTCCTATATTCAAATCAGGGAATAAGTCCACTCCTTCAAATTACCGTCCAATAAGCCTGACATCAATAGTGGGCAAGTTATTAGAATCAATTATAGCTGACACTATTAGAAGTCACCTTGAAGAGCATAACTTGATAAATGAATCTCAGCATGGATTCACGAGAGGTCGTTCCTGCCTGACAAACTTACTGACGTTCTTCAATAGAACATTTGAGGCAGTTGACAGTGATAAGGAATATGATATTGTTTATTTGGATTTTAGTAAAGCCTTCGATAGAGTACCTCACAGGAGACTCTTGAAAAAAGTGGCAGCTCATGGATAGAGTAAAGTTCTAGCATGGATAGAGGCATGGCTTACCAATAGAAAGCAAAGAGTTACCATTAATGAAGTGAAATCTGAATGGGGATTAGTCACTAGTGGCGTTCCACAAGGATCAGTTTTAGGCCCTCTCTTGTTCATAATTTACATTAATGACCTTGTAAAGTAAAAGGACACAAATGCAACTAATGTGACTTTTTATTGTGGCAACGTTTCGCTCTCCAGGAGCTTTATCAAGCCATTACAAACAATACATGGACACAGAGGGTATAAAAGCTCAGAGTGAGGGGCAATACTAGTGAGGTACCATTTCGATGTTCACTAGTGGTAGTAGTAGTAGTAGTAGTAGTGACAAAAATAATACAATATGGTAGAGCAATTGATTCGTACATGAGTAAAAGGATATAAAAGCTATTACTTGGGTAACATAAAAAAAGGTTGGGCAAATATAGACTGGAAAGAGGCAGCTTGTTTCAGTGTTCACTCTCTGTAATGCGCTTTGTGTAGTATAACAGGAGAGACTATGTGATGGCAGGGTTTACTGTTTTCAGGAGGATTCTTGCTAAGACTTCGGAGATTGTGAAACTGCCGTTGTTTTGTTTAATTGTATTCGAAACAGCGATCAGTGCTGATTCGAGGCACTTGCGTCTGCGGAAATTAGTTTCTTTGATCACTAATTGGGCGTCTCCGAATTTCATGAGATGATTGGTGGAATTTCGGTGTTGTACACAGGCGTTGTTCAAGTTATCGTTCCTACATTAATGACCTTGATGAAGGGATTACGAGTGACATGAGTAAGTTTGCTGATGATACAAAGATAGGCCGTATAATTCACTTTGAGGAGGATAGCATTGAACTCCAGGAGGATTTGGACAAATTAATGTCCTGGTCTGAAAAATGGCAGATGAAGTTCAATGTCGATAAGTGTAAGGTACTAGCCCTTGGTAATGAAAATAACCCTCGAAGCTATAATCTAGGTGAAGTAGAGCTTGATCATACAGAATGTGAAAAGGACTTGGGAGTCATGGTGACCAGAAATCTAAAGCCAAGACAGCACTGCCTTAGTGTGCGCAACAAGGCCAACAGATTACTTGGATTTATCTCAAGAAGTATAAGTAACAGAAGTCCAAAAGTTATTTTGCAGCTTTATACATCACTAGTGAGGCCTCATTTAGATTATGCTGCTCAGTTTTGGTCCCCTTACTACAGGATGGAAATAAATGGTATAAAATACCGACACAATGGAAATATAAACACATATGCAGTATAATGTGATCCTTTATTGATTACGTTTCGCCCACACAGTGGGCTTTTTCAAGTCACAAACAGAACTACCTGGGGTGGAAGGAACGCGAGTATTTATAGTCAGGTACATCATCAGATGCAGCATTCTCCACCTGACCTCAGCACTCTGAACCTGACTATAAATACTCGCGTTCCTTCCACCCCAGGTAGTTCTGTTTGTGACTTGAAAAAGCCCACTGTGTGGGCGAAACGTAGTCAATAAAGGATCACATTATACTGTATATGTGTTTATATTTCCTTACTACAGGATGGATATAGACTCATTAGAGAACATACAGAGAAGAATGATTAAAATGATTTACCGTTTAAGGAACCTCCCGTATGAAGATAGACTTAAAGCCTTAAATCTCCACTCTCTGGAGAGGCGTAGAATGAGGGGAGATATCATTGAAGTGTATAAGTGGATGACGGGCATAAACAAGGGAGATATTAATAAAGTGCTGAGGGTGTCGAACCAGGTAAGAACCAGAAATAATGGATTTAAGTTGGATAAATTTAGATTTAGAAAGGACATAGGTAAGTATTGGTTTTCTAACAGAGTTGTAGATGCGTGGAACAGTCTTCCCAGTGGGGTGATAGAGACTAGGACCTTGGGTACCTTTAAGAAGAGACTGGACAAATATATGAGTGGGAGGGGCTGGGTTTGAATGGTGTCATTGGGTACGGGAGTTATTTCTTGAGTAGCTTTAGGTAGATGTCGTTTTGATAAGGACCTGCCTCGCATGGGCCAGTAGGCCTTCTGCAGTGATGAAATTAAGACACATGTGCAACATCTGGGTATCTTTATTGTAGACGTTTCGCCATCCAGTGGCTTTATCAATACAAATTCTAGGACATAACTTGAAGACAGTAGGACTATATACAGAAGATGAGGTAATCAGTCCCTCAACCTAGGAGTAGGTGCGAACAGCACCGTAGTCTTGGAGATTCTGAAGCAGAAGGAAGGAGCCTGGCGCTTATATAGTAACGTCAGGTGTAGCAGACGAGGGCATAGTCACTGGTAGGCTTGATTCCCCAGTGGAAGTAGGTCCTTCCCAAAGAGATGGGTTAATTGTAGTAGTAGTTGTCGTAGCCGTGAAGGTTATGTTCATGTCCTCAGAATCAAGATTCCATGATGTTGCAGTGTCTGACAAGTTGTGCACAACTTGTCAAAAGCCTTACTAAAATCTAAGTAAATAATATCAAATTCTTTATCGTGGTCAACAGCCTCAAAAGCTTTACTGAAGAAAGTTAATAAATTAGTTAGACAAGACCGGCCTCTTGTGAATCCATGCTGAGTATCATTAATCAAGCTATTCTTATCGAGATGGCTTCTTATAATCTCAGCTATAATTGACTCTAGTAGTTTGCCTACAATTGAGGTCAGGCTTATTGGGCGGTAATTTGACGGTAACGACTTGTCCCCTGTTTTAAAAATAGGAATTACATTAGCCATCTTCCACATATCAGACACTACACCTGTTTGAAGAGATAAATTAAAAATATTAGTTAATGGTTCACAGAGTTCCATTTTGCATTCCTTAAGAACCCTTGAAAAAACCTCATCAGGACCCGGTGACTTATTTTGCTTCAGTCTGTCTATCTGCTTCACAACCATCTCACTAGTGACTGTGATGTTACATAATTTATCTTCTTCTGGCCCACTATTAAAATTAATTACTGGAATATTGTTAGTGTCTTCCTGTGTAAAAGCCCAGAGAAAATAATTATTTAAAATCGAGCACATTTCATTCTCTTTGTCAGTAAGATGCCCATAGTTATTTTTAAGGGGACCTATCTTATCTCTAACTTTTGTTCTATATACCTGGAAAAAACTTTTTGGGTTAGTTTTAGAATCCCTAGCAACTTTAATTTCATAGTCCCTTTTAGCTTTTCTTATCCCCTTTTTAATGTCCCTCTTAATGTCAATATACTGATTCATAAGATGACCCTCACCTCCAGGGAGGCTATGTCACTTGACGTAAGTATCTATCTCCCTCCAGGGAGGCTATGTTACTTGACATAAGTATCTATCTCCCTCCAGGGAGGCTATGTCACTTGACGTAAGTATCTATCTCCCTCCAGGGAGGCTATGTCACTTGACGTAAGTATCTATCTCCCTCCAGGGAGGCTATGTCACTTGACGTAAGTATCTATCTCCCTCCAGGGAGGCTATGTCACTTGACGTAAGAATCTATCTCCCTCCAGGGAGGCTATGTCACATGACTGATGTATCTATCTCCCTCCAGGGCGACTCAGGAGGACCCCTGACCTGGTATGACGAGGAAAATAGGCGCTACTTTTTGATAGGTGTTACCAGCTGGGGCATCGGCTGTGGTTTACCTAACTATCCAGGTTTGTACCTAATTACCCAGGTTGGTACCAAATTACCCAGGTTAGTACCTAACTACGCCGATAGGTACCTAATTACCCAGGTCGATACCTAATTACCCAGGTTGGTGCCTAATTACTCAGGTCGGTACCTAACTATCCAGGTTGGTACCTGATTACCCATGTAGGCACCTAAGTACCCGGGTTGGTACCTAATTGCTAAGGTAGGCACCTAATTACCTAGGCTGGTACCTAATTTCCCAGGTAGGAATCAACTACCCAGGTCGGTATCTAATTACTCAGGATAGTACCTAGCTAGCAAGAGCAATAAAAGCATTGACATAATTACTTACACTTGTAATGTTAAGAATGTGGGAACATACATGGATATGTGTACATGGGTGTGCGTACATGGTGTGTACATTGTATGTGTAGTGTGTGTCCATTGATGTGTTGTGTCTATACATAGGGTGTGTATATATGATGTGAAAATAGGTTGTACATGGGGTGTGCACATGCGTGCACATGATTGTACATGCGTGTACATGGGGAGTGTGCGTGTGTGTGTCTGTGGACAGTTTAATTGCCGGCTTACGGTTCACAGCAGAGAGGGCCCGGGTTAGATTCCCAGGCAGGGCGAGAAGTATGGGTATTAGTCTCTTTATACCTATTGCCTCTGTTCACCTAGCAGTAAATAGGTACCTGGACGTTAGTTCGAACACCTTTAGAAATTATCACTGCCAAAATTCTTGAATAAAACCTCTGTAATCTGATATTTCAAATATATAATATAGGAAATATGTGAAAATATCCCTGGCCAGATTTTGTTTGTCGTAGAATTATTTATTGTCGTAGAATTATTTATTGTCGTAGGATTATTTATTGTCGTAGGTATTTATTGTCGTAGGATTATTTTTTCGATAAGTCATGCACTATATTTACTGTCTCAGTTTTGTTTATTGAATGCGAATAAATCTCAGCATTATTCTCTATTTTGATGCCACATACGAAAAATACTTTCTCAGTATGTTTTATTGCTAGCAAATATATTTCAGTGCTGACTTTTATTTTGAAATCACCTACGATACTTTCCAAACAATCTTTATTGCTAGAGAATAGATCTCAGCACTAAACTTTATTTTGAAGTCATCAACGTTTAATACTTTCCCAACACACGTTACTACTGGCGTGTAAATCTGAACGTAAATCTTTATTCCACAGGCGTGTACACGAAGGTGGGTAAGTACCTGGACTGGATCTATGACACAACAGGAGACTCCACCTTCTGTACCTCCTATCACCCTCGGGCAGACGTGAAGAAAGTGAAACAGAAGCCGAAGATCTATAAGTTGGATGATTTCATGTTACCTGACCTGGGTAGGCCTTGGAAAAGAAAGGGTTCCAGAGGCAAGAAAAGAAAGAAGGGTAGAAAGAACATGAAGAGGCATGGTAGATGGGACTTGAAAAGGGTGAGGTATGGTAAACAGAAGCATCGGGGAGAAATGGGGAATGGGAAGTGGAAGAAGACACAAATTAGTGATGGAAAATCGCTTATAAAGAAAGCCCAAAGAAAATACCCAGGAAAAGAGAGGCAAGAAAAAGCAAGTAAGAAGCTGAGGAAGAGGAAGAAATTCAGGAAAGAAACTTCAAGGTTAAGGAATCTTCAGGGAAGATACTCAACTTGGGAAAAGTGGAGAGAAAAAATGGAAAAGAAAAGAAGGAAGCAAGAGCTTCTGAAAAAAAGAAAATCAAAACTTAGGAAAGCCCAGGAAAAATACTCAGCACAGAAGAAGAGGCAAGAAGAAACGGGACAGAGGAGGAGGAAACAACAGAAAAATCTCAAAGAAGGAAAATCGAAAACCAGGAAAATTCATCGACAACAACAGCGTCTACGAAATAGAAGCAAAGTCCCCAAGAGGAGGGAGAAAAAGAAGAGAAGAAAGAAGAAGAAGAAGGGTGATGATAAACGTTCCCAATTAGCGTGCTCAAAGGCAACTAAGAGAAAAAGAAACAAGAAAAGACCCAACAGTCTTCAGGAAGAGAGTCAGGAAAAAGACTAAGACATCTCTTCCATCCCCTTCCTTATCCAATGCCGCCATTTTGACAGTCATTTCGTGGTCATTATATTTCCTCAGCACCAGCTGACATACACTTCGTGAAGATCCTTCGTTTTATTTTGGAGTGGTCTCTCGAAATGTGGTCATTTGGAGGCCCATGGTCCCAGGACCGATACATTTCCGTTAATTATATCCTAGAACGGACTCCCTTCTCGTGCATATATATATATATATATATATATATATATATATATATATATATATATATATATATATTTGATGGTGCAGCCGACTCGTTTGTATGTTATGTCTGCAGTAAACAATGACTCGGGGCCTCCTACGAGTGAAACGCCCTGTGTATCAAGAGGATCATCACCTGGTTTAAAATCAGTGTCAGGGAGACACCGTGTCAAAGACTGTGTCAGGGAAACACCGTGTCAAAGACCGTGTCAGGGAGACACCGTGTCAAAGACCGTGTCAGGGAAACACCGTGTCAAAGACCGTGTCAGGGAGACACAGACATCAAACAACCTCACTGTAATCTCCCATGTAATCCTCACAACAATTTAGAACAGAACTCAAACTGGAAATAACATTTCCTACATCAAAACTTAAAATTAATTTTATTTTCAAAATCATTTGCCTTTTTAGAAAGAGAATTTCCAAAAGACAAGCGATAGAATAAATTCTAGAGTGAGAGTAAAGCTTTCCCAAGTCCTGTTAAAGCTCTACACAGGGGGACATGTTGTCATCTCCTCAATATTGTCTTCAGTACGATGTTGTATACAAATATTCTTTTCTTCGTGTGTGCTATAATGACTTTAGTAAATGACGGGATGGAGAATAATCAAATAAATTTCTTTACCTACCTGTATTGCCTTATATCGAGTAAGATCACAGTAAACAGGTGATATCACAATATGCACAACAACCACCGTGAAAAAATAGTGAAATTGCAAGCGCTTTCGTGATTTCTCACATTATCATGGAACTGTAAAGATAAAAGATAAACAGGAAGACATATAAGGACTACACCTCGTGGTCAGCTTACAACATCTGACCTTTTTATTTTTACAGTTCCTTGATAATGTGAGAAATCACGAAACCGCTTGGAATTACACTATTTTTATGGTGAATATTTTCATTTTGTGATGTCACCTGTTTTCTGTGATCTGACTGCAAATATATATATATATATATATATATATATATATATATATATATATATATATATATATATATATATATATATATATATATATATATATATATATATAATCTTCTTTCAACAAACCGGCCTCATCCCACCAAGGCAGGGTGGCCCCCCATCAAAAAAAAAAAAAAACGAAAGTTTCTTTTTTTAACTTTAGTAATATATACAGGAGAAGGGGTTACTAGCACCTTGCTCCCAGCATTTTAGTCGCCTCTTACAACACATATGGCTTACGGAGGAAGAATTCTGTTCCACTTACCCATGGAGATAAGAGGAAATAAACAAGAACAAGAACTAGTAAGAAAATAGAAGAAAACCCAGAGGGGTGTGTATATATATGCTTGTACATGTATGTGTAGTGTGAACTTAGTGTAAGTAGAAGTAGCAAGACGTACCTGAAATCTTGCAGGTTTATGAGACAGAAAAAAGACACCAGCAATCCTACCATCATGTAAAACAATTACAGGTTTCCGTTTTATACTTACTTGGCAGGACGGTAGTACCTCCCTGGGTGGTTGCTGTCTACCAACCTACTACCACAGGATGGTAGTATCTCCCTGGGTGGTTGCTGTCTACCAACCTACTACCACAGGATGGTAGTACCTCCCTGGGTGGTTGCTGTTTACCAACCTACTACCACAGGATGGTAGTACCTCCCTGGGTGGTTGCTGTCTACCAACCTACTACCACAGGATGGTAGTACCTCCCTGGGTGGTTGCTGTCTACCAACCTACTACCACAGGATGGTAGTACCTCCCTGGGTGGTTGCTGTCTACCAACCTACTACCACAGGACGGTAGTACCTCCCTGGGTGGTGCTGTCTACCAACCTACTACCACAGGACGGTAATACCTCCCTGGGTAGTTTCTGTCTACCAACCTACTACCACAGGATGGTAGTACCTCCCTGGGTGGTTGCTGTCTACCTACCTACCACCACAGGATGGTAGTACCTCCCTGGGTGGCTCCTGTCTACCAACCTACTACCACAGGATGGTAATACCTCCCTGAGTGGTTTTTGTCTACCTACCTACTACCGCAGGATGGTAGTACCTCCCTGGGCGGTTGCTGTCTACCTACCTACTACCACAGGACGGTAGTACCTCCCTGGGTGGATGCTGTCTACCTGCCTACTACCACAGGATGGTAGTACCTCCCTGGGCGGTTGTTGTCTACCTACCTACTACCACAGGACGGTAGTACCTCCCTGGGTGGTTGCTGTCTACCAGCCTATTACCACAAGACGGTAGTACCTCCCTGTGTGGTTGCTATCTACCAACATACTACCACAGGACGTTAGTACCCCCCGGGGTGGTTTCTGTCTCCCAACCTACTACAACAGGACGGTAGTACCCCCCTTGGTGGTTGCTGTCTACCAACTTATTACCACAGGGCGGTAGTATCTCCCTGGATGGTTGTTGTCTACCAACCTACTACCACAGGTCTGTAGTACCTCCCTGGGTGGTTGCTGTCTACCAACCTATTACCACAGGACGGTAGTACCTCCCTGGGTGGTTGTTGTCTACCAACCTATGACCACAGGACGGTAGTACCTCCCTGGGCGGTTGCTGTTTACCTATCTGCTACCACATGACGGTAGTACCCCCCTGGGTGGTTGCTGTCTACCAACTTATTACCACAGGATGGTAGTACCTCCCTGGGTGGTTGCTGACTACCAACCTACTACCACAGGATGGTAGTACCTCCCTGGGCGGTTGTTGTCTACCAACCTATTACCACAGGTATATATATAAATTATATATATATATATATATATATATATATATATATATATATTTATATATATATATATATAATATATATATATATATATATATATATATATATATATATAGTATTGAATATCAATTTGAAAGTCGTAGAGGTATATACATTTACAATGTTCAGTTAGGGTGTATAAAGTGAGAAGTGTAAGTGTATATATATTTTAGTGTAGATGCACTAAGGGTACAGGTCCTCTCTGTGTAATTCTTACGACTGGTGAGGGACTTCATCAGTCATAACCTGGTGAGGTCAGTCTTCACCAGTCACACACTTTGCATCAGATGTAACTGCAAGTGTTGGCTGACACTGGGCACTTGTAAACAAGGCAGGCAACACCGGCTGTGTCAGCCTGGGACGTCAGCAATTTAGGGACTAATTAGTGAGCGAAAAGTTTTCTCTATAAAATGGCACAAAACGCACATTGTGTCGAATATTTCAGTGCTGTCAACATATTCTACGGTTGTATTACCGAGGTTGACAACTCGTAGTTAGGTTTGGATAGGTTTAATTAGGTCGAGCAGACCGTAGTTAGAAGTTAAGTTAGACAAGCACTCAGAGGCTACAGTGAAAGTCTTGAGAAAATGGTGAAGCACAAATATCTTCTCTCTACATCTAGAGTGTAGTTATTATGAGAATATAACCAGTTATTAACGAATTAATACTAATAATTACCTATCAGCTAAGTAGCACTAATAACTATAAATTAATTAACATGAAAATGTGATTGCCTAAGTAAAACTAATAACTACATCAAAGTAACATAATAACTATGTATTTGTCTTATAACTGTGTATTAACTAAAAAATAATAAAAACTGTGTATAAACTAAGAAAATCACTAATAAATACATGTTAACGCTATCACTAATTAAACAAATATTAACTAACAATTTATTATTATTATTATTATTATTATTATTATTATTTTTATTCATTATTATTATCATAGCGTCTAAACTGTAAGGCAGTAAAAGCTCTGCCAGCCTCTCACGTGAGACGCGACTTGGTACTGGCACGTTACCAGGTTGGGAGAGAGTGAGGTGGGAGGGGGTTGGAGTGGGGGGTACTGGTTTGGTTAATTGGAGTTTGAAGCCTATTATCACGAGAGGGTCATTAAGCTGCGTGTCCACCTGTCAAGAATACTGAGCTACCCTAACAAATACACTCTCAGAGTGTATAAGGTGTGTTGGGTATCCATCTGTCTCTCTCAGTGTGTGTGTGTGTGTGTGTGTGTGTGTGTGTGTGTGTGTGTGTGTGTGTGTGTGTGTGTGTGTGTGTGTGTGTGTCTGTGTGTGATGTGGTGTTGTATTTAAGGACACATTAAGATAGGTTTAATGAAAATAAATTACCTTTATGGTGCAAATATAATACATACATAGAGTACCATGTCGTACATACATTGCATACGTGAGTACATACACAGCATACAAGAGTACATACATACATAGCAAACATGAGCACTTAAATACAATGAGCACATACATAACATACATAGTACATACATAGTATACATGAGTACATACATTGTATATCACTTAAAATACACACTGTACACCAAGACCCGAGTACACATTCTATGTGCATCAATATCCATGTACACTTTCCATGTACACATAGACCATTGTAAATACTCTTTGTACACCGACACTCGTGTACACTATGTACACCAAGTCATAGTGTGTACACGTGACTCTTCAAAGCAAAGAGTTTTTGATCCAAGGAATTAGAGTTATCCTCTCCTCCCCAATACCCAGGCTGTGTATGACCCATAAGGATATTAAACACTTCTGCAACAATATAATAATAATAATAATAATAATAATAATAATAATAATAATAATAGTCTGCCAGCGTTAATAAAGGATATATATATATATATATATATATAATATATTTTATATATATTATATATATATATATATATAATATATAAATATTTTATTTTTTTTTTATTATCACACCGGCCGATTCCCACCAAGGCAGGTGGCCCGAAAAGAAAAACTTTCACCATCATTCACTCCATCACTGTCTTGCCAGAAGGGTGCTTTACACTACAGTTTTTAAACTGCAACATTAACACCCCTCCTTCAGAGTGCAGGCACTGTACTTCCCATCTCCAGGACTCAAGTCCGGCCTGCCGGTTTCCCTGAATCCCTTCATAAATTTTAAACTTTGCTCACACTCCAACAGCACGTCAAGTATTAAAAACCATTTGTCTCCATTCACTCCTATC